TCGAAACCTAGGGATATGCTACAAGAAGGGTGAAAAATCTAACTTTGTGGGTTATACTGATAGTGATTATGCAGGAGATCAAGATGATGGAAGGAGTACTTCTGGCTATGTTTTTATGCTTGGAACAGGTGCAATCTCCTGGTCATCAAAGAAGCAATCAATTGTCACCTTATCCAGTACAGAAGCTGAATTTGTTGCAGCTACGGCTTGTGCTTGCCAAGCCATATGGCTAAGAAGAATACTTGAGGAGTTGCAGTTCAAGCAATGTGGAGCTACTATAATACTATGTGATAACAGCTCTACAATCAAGTTATCAAAGAATCCAGTGTTCTACGGAAGAAGCAAGCACATTGATGTGAAGCTTTATTTTTTGAGAGATCTTTGCAAAGATGGAACTGTTGATTTGATGCATTGTAAGAGTGATGATCAAGTTGCTGATATATTCACCAAGGCGCTCAAGAGAGAATCGTTTGTGAAACTCAGAGGATTACTAGGTCTCTGCAACCTAGGTTCAGTCAAGGTTGTAAACTGATGTTTACTAACATCAGTTTAAGGGAGGGATTGTTGAAACTTTTACTTATGTTATTGTTTAACTTGTTTTTCAAATGGAGTCATTCATTTAGTGGCCTAGAGTTTAGGAATTTGCTGTACGTTGGAGTCTTTCAGTTATGACTTAGTCAGCAGATTTAGTGGCTTAGTGGTCTAGTCTTTAGGAGTGGTGGGGTTATGGAGAAGGTGCCAGATATGGGACCTGATCTTAAGGGATTTCAGTTGTGTGTTTTGCCTATTTAAAGGCTCCAAAGTTTACGATTAAGTATGACTTTTTGGCCACAATACTACTGTTATCTTTGCTATTTCTTATCATCTTTGTCGTATCGCGCGTGTAGTGCGGCTTCTTTCCCTCAGTATCTTGTTCGTGAAACTGGCGCACACCCTTAATCATATTGTCCAAGATACTTGCAGGAATCCCCTGATTGACAATCTGAAAAAATCCCCATTCTGCAGCAGCGCTACTTACTTTGGCAATAACTTCTTCTCGCTGGCCTTGAAGATCTATTACTGGGATTCTGTCCTGTGATATGCCTGAAATCGGTTCTGTTCCAAATTCTTGCTGTTGCTGCTGCTGCTCAAGGACAAATATTCTTGGGATCTTTGTAATTCCAGCGTCAAATATCCCCTTCACACCAGCTTTTGTCTCATCAAATGCTTGAACCTCACTTTGTCTATCATTCTCAGGAGTAATTTCTCTCTGAAATTCAATCTTGCTTGAGCCAACCATTTTCTTAGCTAGAAGAGAAGCTCGAGTGAAATTCTGATTCTTGATGTGTCAGAAAGAATCATTTATCTCGAAATTCAACACATGGGACAGACTGTTACTGTGGTTGGTCTTCCTATAAGTGGTTATCCAACCTAGCCTTAGTTCCTGGTTTCAGAACCGCTCATTTTGTCTAGCAAAGTAGGGCCGTTTAAATAGAAGTAGAATAATTAGTAATTATGCTTTAGGCATCTTTTGTGACGAGGAGTGGTTTAATCCTCAGTGCTAAAGTGCACAGATTGTATAAACTTTATTGGAGCCTTTGCTCCTAAAGTGTAATGAAATTTCTGACGTTTCAGGGGAAGAAAAGTTATCCAACCAGCCAGTTACTATGTATCTACTACAGCATATTATCTTTTGTTCTATTAATTAGTCTAATTTCCCATGCAATTAATTCCGAAAAAAAGAAAAAAGATGCAAAGCCAAGCATTTCTAAATGTTGACTAACAAAAATGATAGACAACCAGACAAGACACACCGCTTGGATTTGTTTCTTTCTTCCTGCCAACCTGCTAATGCCATCATCATTCTTGTCTGACTTTATATTTGGATTCCATGGTATCGCCGGCATCAGCTATCTAACTATTTGGATTCATCAGTTCGTGGTGATGATGCAAAAGACATCTAGCAAATCTGGACATTTTTTTCAGTTATGTGATAAATGGCTGAAGAGTCTCTGCCTTTCCTTTTCTTTTTATAACTGAACAGGTTTTTTTCCCTTTTCTTAATTTCATCGTTGCCGGTAGGGCTGCAAATGTGCCGAACTGAGTCGAGTTTTGGTCTAATTGACTCTAGCTTTGACTTAATTTTATTGAACTCGAGCTCGACGAGCTGCCAATTTAAACTTCGACCTTGAGCTCGACTTGATTCGAGTCGAGCTCGAGCTCAAAATAAATAAATAAATAAAAAATTTATTTTTTAAACAATAAAAAATAATAATATTTTTTTCTTAATAAATAATAAAATATTAAGAATATATATATAATTTTACTATTAAAATAAAAAATATATATATACTTAAAATAAAAAAAAAAATATATATATATATATATACTTGAGCTCGCGAGCCGACTCGAAAGCTAATTAGCTTAATATTTTGAGATCGAGTTCAAGTTCAATTTCAACTCGAGCCAACTCGAGCTCGATATTGATCGAGCTCTCGGTTCAATTGCAATCCTAGTTGCCGGCAACAGTTCGTAACTTTGTTGTGATTTTTTTGCCCTTTTCTTCATTTGTGATGATGCGAAACGCATCAATCAAATCTGGACCCTTTTTCTCCCTTTTCTTTCTTTGTAGTTTTTTTTCCTTCTCTTAATTTCATCATTGCCGGCATCAGTTTGTAGTGATTTTTTTCTCTCTCTTCTTTTTTTGTGATGATGCAAAAGACATCTAGCAAATCTACGCCTTTCCTTGTGTGATAAAATGACCGAAGAGTCTACCCACAAAGCGGTAGCTTAGCTCACGTTCCGGATCAGGACACGAATGAGGTGGCAGCGCGGGGTCATTTTCTCCTCCGGTTAAAAAATTGTATAGGGATGGGGAATTCTACACCGGTCTCATCACTTGCCTATATATATATAGTATCAGATTATGTATATACAATATTATTAATCATATTAATAATTATATATTTATACTAATACAAATCATTGATTAGTTATACTAATATATTTATCCTAAATTACTATTTACATTTTTTATTGACCAAAGTTTTAGCAATCGGATCCCAATATTTGGACTCCGTTCTCGTTAGTCCAAAATGGATATTTCAAGTTGGACTTGAATACTTAGATTGTACTTAAGTATTAATCTATAACACTTACTTTTTCAATGTACAATAAAATATGACATTCACCCTTCTTTATTAGGCTTTACATCCTCGCAAAGCCCAACCCAATAGCATGATCTAGACTATCCACTCAATTGTGGAGGATTTTAAAGATAGCTTGTACGAATTCTTGCGTTAATTCCTACCCTTAGGCCGATGTAGCACTTAGCACTACACCACTCCCTTCTGCAGTAGCAATCCAATGCCACTAACCCAATCTCACCCTTGTGTAGAAACTACACGAGATTTGTTCAGCTATTGTAATGCCACATCCAGTACTATTGGCCCAGCTTTAACATGATACTCTATTCCATATCGGTAAAGTAAAGTGCTATATACTAATACTTAAATAGAATCTAAGTACTCAAATTCAATTTAGGACTAGTAAGGACGTAGCCCAAATAGTTAAACTTAATTGCTAAGAATACAAACTGTCCTTACTTTTGATAATTTAGTTGTGCTACACAAGGAAGAGGAAAAGAAAATTAAAAAAAAAAAAGAATAACAACAAGAATGAAAAGAAATATTAATATGAGTAGGATTAACTTTTTGGATAAATCTTTTATGTATTGACAGTGTATACACAAGTGAATCTAGACGTATGTCATATATACAAAATTTGATGTTCAAATTCAAATTCAAATAATGTGACATTTATTCAACCCCATCGGTGTATACACTGACAATATAAGAAAGATCAATCCTAACTTTCTATACACCGATTGTGTAATAATTTTTTTACGCTATAACTACGGATGTATATCATTATCATATGTATATAATTTGAATTTCAAATTTGAACTCATGTTATATAGTATAATTTAAATTTACTTAATATAAAAAAAATTATACATTGACAGAATATAAAAAATTTACTCTTACTAATATATATAAACTCCAGCACAATCATAGTTTTAGCAAGCTTTGCAGGAGGCACAATCCATCTTGACAATAATAAGTTGACCAAAACTCGAAAACCATCAATTTCTTAAATTACATGTTTAAGGTTCTTATATGTTTTTCAGCTTAATTGTGATAATAATGGGCCAGTGTAGCGAGGGGTATCTCTATTATTGGGGTCATGGTTGCTCGGGTGACTAGTGGGCTGTCTTCCGATAACAACTCCTGGAATTCTTGGGCCTATAGTGTTTGATACTACTAGGTTACTTGTTACACAGTAACATCAAATTCTCCCTTGTGTTTAAAATTGAAGAAGCTAACCATGTATGTCTTCTTAATTTTTCTTTGGGCAATATTCCCTCTCTTTTTTATTTTTAGAGTTGACTCACTTTGGAACTGAAAGCATAATTTGTTCATGAGGAATCAGTATAAATTTGTGGCTGTCCAGGTAACTTTGAAGAAATGTAGCAGGGAAACGGAAGTAATGGTTGGCCAAATGAGTCTAGAAAATTGGCGTCAGAAAACGACTTATGGCTGGCCAAACTACTGCAGAAAAGTTCATGGTAATCAATAAAGAATCATTGGTGTAGTGCTGATTGGCTATTTTAATTGGTTTGATGTTTTGTCTAGTATTGTTGTTTTCTCTTTTCCAGCCAACTACTTCACCCATTTCAGTGGTGAGGCTATATATATTTTTTAGAATAGCATGAATAGTTTGCTAGTGTTGTGTTTGGGGGGAAGGGAGGGGGGTGGAAGAGGCAGCAAGAACCTCCTAACAATGAAGTAGATTAATAATCAGCAATATTGAATATCGAGTAGCATGTCTGACAATGAAACGCAACTTAATTGGTAAGATGCTTCACCTGTAACTGATAAGTCAAGGATTCAAGTCATCAAAAAAATAAATAGGAAATCACTGTTGATCCTCTTTATAAAAAGAAAAAAGAGTAGCACGTCTCATACAGATACAAATGATAAATCATCAACTTATTGATGCATCATGAATGCCGCAAAAGGTTTATGAAAACACTGAACTTGCAAAAACGGCATATTTCATGGTTCCCAAGTAGCAGCATTCAACTTAAAATGTGATAAAAGTGGAGCTTTATGCAGGCTATCATTGTAACGCTGTGTAAGCAGCTGTTTGGCTGTAATCTCTCTGTAGAGTGGTGGGTTTTCTTCTGATAATAGTTCCTTGATCGGTCCATAGAGCCTTGATGTACTTCCTTCTTGATCAAAATGTGTCCCGAAGAAACTTTCTACTGAAATCCTTGGGCCTTCTTGTTTCGCGAGTACCCTGTGGTTTTCACTTTTGAACATATCATTGTTCATTCGTGATCAGCTGCCCGAGTCATGGAACTGCCATTTTCTTAGCTAGAAGAGAAGCTCGAGTACAGTGCAAATTCTGATGTACAAGACCGTATTTATTTTGCAATGAACGCAGAAGGGAAAAACTGCTTGTAGTTGTAACAAATCAGCAATAGTCTTCAATCAACCACAATACTTCATCTCGTCCTTCTCAATAATTTCCCTCCTGACTCTTAAGAAATTAAATGTCAGAAGCCAATTCCAAGTACGTACAGTGGAGCCTATAATGACTACTAAGTATTAACATGCACGATGAGATAAACAACCACTTAATTAAAAACGGGAAGAAAACTCGAAAAAATCCAGTCATTGAGGCCCGATATACGGTTACAAAACTCAAAATAAAAAAGGGGAAGAAATACTAAACAGATGAATAATTAAGATATATGTTTCAGCAATGATTTCTTTTTGATACCCTTAAAATGTTAATCACAACTTGAAATACTTTAGAGCTCGAACTCCAACTTTGTCTTTCTTGAAGAAGTATTTTGCATAGTCTTCTATCGTCGTCCCTCTGTAGATTGGCGGATTTTCTTCTGATAAAAGTTTCTTGATTGGGCCATATAGCATCGCTGAAAAACCTGCACCAGAATGTGGTCTTAGAAAGCTTGCCACTGATATTCTTGGACCTTCCCGTTTTGACAACACTCTATGAAACACGCTTTTGAATCTGTCATTTGATATCAACTGCACTCAACACAAAAACCAAGTGTAAAATTAAGATGCTTCCCAAGCTTTAAAACCTTTGTGAAATGATGAAAAATGAAAATTGCATCTCTATGTACCGTTCATAACGATGATCTATTGATTATAATATATAGTGCAGTAAACATGACATATGAGCCCATTTCATTTCGAGGGTAGATGTACTTAAAAGAAAATGTTTGAGATAGAATAATACGCGAGGAACTAAACATAGTTCATTAAAACAACAGGACTATGCCGAAAAGATAAAATTCCTACCATTCACTTTTTAAAAACTTTGGATAAATTACACTTAGCCCCTCACAATTTTACGCTTTTTTAGATTATCGGTATATGGTTTCAAAATATATACATATTATATTTTGAAATGAAGTGTTGAACTGATGTAAAAACTAAAATGACTATAGTGATTAAGATGCATATATTTAGGGCGAATCACATTGGATGTGTTTTGATAGGAGATTATTTGGAAAAAATCATTTATAATAACAATGTAACACTTTTTGTGATATAATATATATCAAATAAAATGAAGTTAAAAATTGTGTTTATGAAACAAGTAGGATAATATTAAAAAAAATTTCCGAATTATGGTGTCCAAACAGATCCACTATAGTTTTCTATAGTTTAACTCTTTTTCCCATGACCCTCTCATAATTTCAAAACTTACACATAAAGCTTCCATGCTTAACAAAAATTTTATGTCTAGACCTAAGGGTACTCTTCATATTTCATCTGCTTAACATAAAAATAATCTGTCACTTTGACGTTTCAGTTCAAAATACGAGGGATTATGTATAGTTTTAAAAATATAGGAAGATTATATTTTTTTTTTTAAAAAAAAAAAACTAAAGCACAAAGTGCTAAAGTGTTTTTTTTTTTTTTTTTTTTTAAGGATATGAAGCCGATTGAGTTGGTAGAAAGTAGAAACATGCCTGCAAGAGGTCTCCCACGTTAATGACTAAAGCTCCAGGCAAGCAAGGTACATCAACCCATGTATCTTGATGACGCACTTGGAGACCACCAATTTGATCCTGGAGGAGTATTGTTAGGAAGCTGAAATCGGTGTGGTTGACAATCCCCAAAGTCAACTCAGGCTGTGGACAAGGTGGATAATAATGTCCTTTCAGGTAAAGCCCCTCAGCACAACCCATGTTCACAAGGTAGTCTGTTTCCAGTCCCAAAGACTCCGACAGCAATCCAAGTAGTGTAATCCCTAACCTCATAACCTCGTTTGAGTATTCCAGCATAATATCTCTGCCACAGTAACAGTACTAGTTAATTAAAGATTGCATATGGTTCTTTAATAGAACGTAAGACTGCCCTGATTGGAAATAGAATTATTTGTGTCTCATGGATTTGTATCTCAAGATTTTCAGTAGGGTACGCTTCCAACTCTAGTTCTGCTAAAGAAACGAAATACAGCCAACGTGAATGTACAGGCAAATTTCTGATTCTACTAACACTGGTCCAACCAACTGGTGCATTAAAGCATATAGAGAAAAGTACTTATGTGCAGTTAATCACAACAATGTTTAGGTTATAGCATGTGGCATGGTGCTTTTCTAAGCATTGATTAAACTTGTCCCAGTGCAACCGTTTCAAAATGGTGTACCACCTTTCAAAAAGATTGTAATTCATCATGAAAAAGAAAAGATGTACAATTTAATAACAAGAATGTAATATTTAGGTACTGTTTAAAGAGGCTGTACACATCAATTTGTGTTCCAAATCATGACCACCAATCGTCTCTATTCCCTGTCCTTAACCTAATTAGTTCATGCGAATTGAAGCACATATTATAAAATAACATCTAACTTAGGCATAATTATGCTGCTACTGCTAGAAGCAAAGGTGTTATACATTACCTAGAAATGGCGGGCAGTTCTTCTGGCTTAGGAGGAACTGGAGCCATTTTACAAGTAATGGTATCCTTCCAGAGCGCTGCTGTCGACTCATAAAGATCATAGTTGCTATTATACAAGACATTCCTCGTGGAATCCCTCGAATAGTATTGCTTCTTCACCTCATTATCTTGCTCATGAAACATGCGTATTCCTTCCATCATCTTCTCCATAACCTCAACTGAAATTCCATGGTTAACTACCTGAAGAAATCCCCATTTTTCAAAAGCATCGCGAAGCTTATCCACGATCTTGGCTCGCAAAAAGGGATCTAATTGATTCACACCTTCCATGTCGACGACAGGAATGCCAGCCTGAAACATGCTGTTACCGGACTTCTCCTCCTGTCTGTCATTATCATGAACAAAGATACGAGGAAGCTTTGCCACCCCTTTATCATGTAGTCCCTTCACACCAGCTTTTGTATCATCAAAAGCTTTTAATTCTCTTTCTCGAATCTTTTGATCCGACGAGATTGTCATCGGACCTTCTTTGTTGCATTTGACGACCATAATAACGTGCTGTCTGCTCATGCAACTTTTTCTTCGTGTGGAGTTCATTAACCGAGCAGTATATGAGTGGAGATGCAAGGCTCTGGTCATTGCCATTTTGATGCCTTGTTTCTTTAGCTCATAAATTAATGCATAGAGATGAGGAATTTTTGTTGAAGAACGGATTGAGATGTTAGACATGAGCAAGCAAGTATGCATGTATTTATATAAAATGGTGACTTTATTTGATAATAAGTATAAAGTAAATTTTGGAAGGCTAAGTACTGAATTGGATGACTTGAAATTTAGAGTCATGAATCACGATGTTGAAATTCTAGCATATTATATTGAGTCAAAAAACCTCGTTGAACGTTATACGAAAGGAAAACTTGCTAGCAGTTTGGAAGGGTTTGGAGACATTCAGGGTAGGAGTCGTCCTTCAAATTTTAAACGATGTAGCAAATCTCTTGCTTTCTCATTCAGGAACCCAGATTTTGACCTGTGATTAAATCCATGTAAGTGGTTCTTAGAACCAAAAAGTCAAGCGTATATTTCTACTAGCGTACGTTACATTTCACTAGGATCAGGGCCTCTAAAGTGCATCCAATGGTTAAAATTCGTTAATCTAAAATTGGATGGACAGAATTGATTTTCAAAGTCATTTGTTATTATGAATAAATAATAACTGAGCAGTATATGAGTGGAGATGCAAAGCTGCCGACATTGCGATTTTGAATATGCCTTGTTTCTTAAGCTTACAAATTAATGCATAAAGATGAGATTTTTTTTTTTTTTTTTTTTTTGTCAAAGAACGGATTGAGATGTTAGAAACAAGCGAGCAAGTATGCATGTATCTATATATAATGGTGACTTTTGTTTGATAATAAGTATAAAATAGTTTTGGAAGACTAGGTACTGAGTTGGATAAATTCAAATTTAGAGTCGTGAATCCTGATGTTGAAATTGCAGCATATATATATATTTTTGATTCAGTCAAGAAACCCTCGTTGAACATTATACGGAAGAAAAAGTTGCAAGTAGTTTGGAATGGAGATATGAAGTGCACGAGTCTTCCTTCAAAAGTCTAAGGTTGTAGCGAATCTCTTGCTTCCTGTTTCAGGAACCTAAATTTTGACCTCTGATTAAATATATGTACTAAAAAGTCAAGTGTATATTTCTTCTCTTGTGTACGTTACATTTCACTAGGATTTAAAATTCGTTTATTTAATTCAAAATTGGATGGACGGAATTGATTTTGAAGATATTTGTTTTGTGTTTAAGTTTCTTGTTTTAGTATTAACATCTAATGGATACATTGTGCATTGAAGCAAAAACTAATCTACTTTTCACTTTACAGCTTACAACACAAGTTTGTTGTTTGCAATTGCATATGACCATGAAGTCTCTAATCACATCGAGTCTCCCTCCCCCTCCCCTTAGATTAGGCTAGATTAGGTTATAAGAATTCTATCGTTGCGATAAAAAAAAAAATTGCATATGACCATGGAATAATCATCGTACATGAGTGAGTACTCATAAAAATCAATTGTAAACAAAAATGTTCTTTATGGGAATGCTGAATCACGTACTAAACAAGTGAAAATATTAGTTGGAATCACATTGGAAGAAAGGGGTAAGGTAACTGTTGAATTGAAGGGACATTCTTTGTTCAATTGATCAATTCTGTTCTTGTGCATATAAAATGTTAGTACTTCTCTAGCTGGCTCTGAAGACCAAACATAAAATTCTAGACAGGATGGTCGGTTTGAAATTTGGACCCAAGTTTTTAATGTTGGGACAACTATTAGACTAATGTGGATTAAGACTTTAAGAGGGAACCCAAACATATTTTTAAGAGTAAACTGTTCAATCATATTTTTAGGTGGAGTACACGCATAGAAGCCATGCCAACATTAAACATTTCAGATAAAGAATGTTTGTTAGCTTGTGACAGGCAAAATAGGGAGATGGTGTCGATAAAACTGGTTGTGCAGGAAAAAATTATAAGTAAGAAGTTCTGAATTCAAAATTTTTCACTTAAAAAAAAAAACTAATAAGGAATAGTGTTACGGGTATTTACAATTTGAAGTGTGCTAGCGCAGAGTCTCCACCACCTTTGTCTCTTCTGAAGAAGTATTTGTCGTACTGCTCTATTGTTATCTCCTTGTAAATTGGGGTATTTCCTTCTGACACCGATTTCTTGATCGGTCCAAAATATCGACCCGTAAAATGTTTACCCGATTGTGGCCTCAAAAAGCTTGCCACTGATATTCGTGGGCCGACTTTCTGCGGTCGCACTCTATGATTCGCGCTTTTGAATCTATCATTTGTAACTAGCTGCATTGGAGGATTGGGGGGAATCGTGAATTGGTGAAACAACATTAAAAAAAAAATAAATTAAATTTTTTATATATTGTCAGTGTACAAATTTTTTTTTACACTAGTAAATTTACATTATTTTCAAGTAATATGAATTCAAATTTAATTTAAATTATTTAAATGTGGCATATATCCCGCTGAAATTATCTCGTTGTTTATCAAAAAAACAAGAATTCCGCAGGATGATATAATTCCCAGTCCTACGGGGCAATCCTTATATTTTTCAGACTGCCAAAAGTGGAGGAGGCTTTGATGGCTCTTCCAAATGGAAGCAATCCATACAGAGAGTGCATTATAGACTCTTTCAATAAAATTAGCCCAACTGAAGAGAGGTAATTATTTAAAAAAAAAAAAAAAACAAGGATTTCTTTATAAAAATTGTGCCACACCTCAAGAGTCAATGCAATTATGCGATTCACCCCAGAAGTAGAATGGTAAAGACATGTAATTCGTGGACAAATTCTAATCATAGAAAGCAGAAGCTTGTCTGCATCAAGTCTCCCAAGTTAATCACTAGAGCTCCAGGCAAGCAAGGCACATCAACCCATTCATTTTGATGGAGGACTTGAAGGCCACCAATCTGAACTTGCAGTAGAATTGTCAAGAAGCTAAAATCAGTATGGTTTGTGATACCCAATGTCAATTCTGGTTCTGGACAAGCTGGATAATAATGCCCTCTGATTCCAAGCCCCTCCATACAGCCCATGTCTACCAAGTGCCTTGTTTCAAGTCCCAAAGATTCCGACACCAATCCAAGCAGTTTCTCCCCCAATCCCATGACAAACTTAGAGTATTCCACCATGATATCTCTCCAAGAAAAGCAAAAAATGTTTCCTAGTAAAGTTGCATCTCGTCTGTCTTGTTTGCTAATCCAATAAAGTAAGATTAGGATTAAATGAACTAAGCTCGAGTTCATAACATACCTGCAGACTACAGGCAGTTCTTCCTGGTTGAACACTGAGGAGATATTTTGCATGTAATTGTATCTTTCCAAACTGCTGCTGCTGATTCATACAGATCATAATTGCTATAATACGCAACATTTCTTGTGAAATCACGCGTATAATAATCCCCTTTAATCTCAGGATCCTGTTCGCGAAACATCCTAATCCGCTCCAACATTTTGTCCATTGTCCTGTCTGGAATTCCATGATTAACAACCTGAAAAAATCCCCATCTTTCGCATGCATCGGGAACTTGGTCAGTGATCTCAGAACCCTCCAATTCTATGACAGGAATACTAGACTGGAGCCTGCCGTTCCAGGACTTCTTTTCTTGGTCAATGTTGTCATGGACAAAAATACGAGGCAGCTTTGCTAAACCTGAATCTGATAGGCCCTTCACTCCAGCTTTTGTGTCATCAAAAGCTCTTAATTCTCGCTCTAGATCATAACAAAAAGGTGATGAATTTGGTACCCCGATTTCTCTGCCATATTTGACAGGAACAATCTTCTTCACGAAACATGATCTGCTAGAGCAGATTGGACGTGCTGCATATGAGTACTGGAAATGCAAAGCTATGCTCAATGCCATATATAGTTACTATTGGAGATTGAATGAGAAGCAAGTTGCTAGTTGATTCTAATATGGCCCTGTTCTTGCTATTTGATCCAATTTCTTTTAGACAAATAGACACCAATAATCTTTTTAACAATCAAGATTCATTATGCGGATATTAAATATTCTGAAGTCAACCCTAAACCTGGATCCCAATATACTGAATTGCACATCCCAACTTGAACAAATTAAAGTAGCTTAATTACTAGCAATTTGCTACTAAAATATAGGGATAATTTCACAAACCTCCCCTGAGGTTTTTGACAATTTCACTCGGCTCCCCACAAGTTTTATAAATTACACTGACCTCCATTGTCACAATAAAATGACTATAATGACCTTCACTTAATAAATAATTCACAGTATAATGATATGAGATTAAAAAAAGAAAAAGAAACCTAACCTCTTCGTCTATCATGTTTACAAGTTGCAACCAACGATGATTCTCTCTCACTTACTGTCATTTTGTTCTCATCCATCAACCGCTTCCTCCTATAACTCACTCTCAAATTACCACCAACCATTGCCTAAAATTGCAGTCAATCACACCACAAGTGATCTGTTAAACTCTATTATATATTCCTATTCCTCCTTTCTTCTCTTTGGAATTGCAAAATGACAAGTTTAGTTGAGAGATTAGTTTGATGGTTGAAGTAAAATCTGATTTCATAGTCAAACTAAAAAGGAGATGAAGAGGCACACAATAATAATGGAACAAATAATGCAATCATTGGCCAAAGATGAAGAGGACTAAATTGATAATTTGTCTATCATTCACCCAAAAAACTTTTTAAGATGTTAATAAGTACATTTATATTTCTTTTTATACTTGAAAATTGTTGGTTGTGGTTTTGCTATGGGGATAGAGGTTCTTCTCTGTATTTAAGATGATAACATGTTTGGAGATTTAATGGTAAGTTAGATTATTTTGTTTTAAGAAGGTGCAGGCATTGGGTTGAAGTTTGGGGTGTAATTAGTTATAAATAGAATTTTGATTTTTGGTAAAATGAATTTCTTGAAGATCTCTGTAGTCATAATGAAGTCTTTCCTTCTCTTAAACTTGATTAATCACATCTATGCCTAAATCTCGCCTAAGGATTTTCTTCAATGCCATAATGTGGCTCATGTAGTAGGAGTTAAACCACTTATATGGAACCAAATCATGGCATCCTATGTTGAAGATTATGCAAACGTAAGGACAGTTGATTGTGAATTTGACCATTCCATGGAACCATATAGTGAGAATATTTTTGAAAATGGAACAAATCTTCATGATTGAATGCATGCTTTGGGAGAAACAATTTTATGACTATGATAATGGAATTGCTTGGGTTTAGAATTTGAAATTAGACTATTTATTAGGCTAGTTTGTTAGTATAGTGAGTTTGATTAAAATATGGAAGAAAGCAATTGGCAATCTAATTTTTGTTTTATTTTTGTACAAAAAGGGTAGTTTAGGATTTTTGAGAAAAAATATAGTCTTTTGGGCCTATATTGTTATATAAACAGTAAAAGTAAGGGAGGTAGGTGTAAGTTAATAAAATTGAGGGGAGGTTTCTGAAATTATCCCTAAAATATATGAAACATGAGAAGCATGCTCCCAATATTATAGTATATCCCGTTAGGCCTGCTAGCCGCATCGAGGCAATGGATGTACTACTATCCATGTGAGAATTGCTCATTTGGTGGGGGATGAAAACTTGAGCCAATTAAAACATCAAGCAAGAAAATAATTGGTCTTTGTTGAAGAAGAAAATCAAAGATTCAAAATCTACTCATTAATGAAGGATTTCTATACCTTTTTATGTTCAGTTGGAATTGTCAATACCACTATCCGCTGTCAAATTCAGTATCAGCTCCACTTACCATTGAATTACCACTGAAATGCGACGCTGAGAATTCCATGTGTTTTATATTAATGCGTGACCATAAAATAGATGTGCATGGATGATGGAACTACCTTTCAGACGGCTACTCTGAATACTTAGCTAATTAGCTCCAACACATTCGGATCCAGATCATGCGTGGATTCGGTGGTTGATCCATTTAGCTGGATAAGTTCCAGATCCAATTGGGGTATATTCAAAACGGGCCAGATGGGCATTTGGATGTTTCGGCCCGTTTGTCTGTCCAGAGAGGGATTGTTTTCAGGGCCTGCAAGTAAGAAGGTACTAACTTCTAGTAATACACAATCTTTTAATCCCTAAAGCAGAGATCAGCTTTCGACTATTGGAAGTTTGGAACCCCATTTTTTTTTTTTTGTCCCTCCCTTCCCCTCTGACTATTAGAACTTCATTTCTCTTTCAGCTTCATACACTGCTCGACTTCTATTTTACTTTTTCTGCTTGCATCATGTAAGAGTTTTTTTCTCCCGGTCAATAGTAGAACACTTAAATTGTGAAAGGAAATTAAAACAAATTAGGTTTATGTTAATAAGAAATTAGGTATATGTACTATGTTAATGGCAATTTCAAGCGTTACATCTTGTACCATTCATTACTCCTCAATGCAACTAGACACAATAAGTAAATTTTCTAGGTCTCTTTACCAAATTAAATATGTACCGGATCCAGAGTCAATCATCATTAAGAGCGGACTGACTTTTCTAATGAAGAACCATCTCTTTTGTCAAATTAAACAAGGGATGAAAGACCAAACAAGTTACTTGATCCTCGAATTGAGTTTGATTTGATATGAATCTGTTCAAATTTGATCGCCAAGTAATCATCCCGTACATAAATAACACTCTTATGTTCAATAAAGTGTGGAGTTAGGCTCGGCTCAATTAAAAGTTGAAATTTATATAGCAAAAACTCGAGGTATTTGAGTTCGACTCGTGCTTGACTTGAGAAAAGTTTATTTGGATTCATTTGGATAAATAAACAAGCCAAATTTAAACACAGTTTTGAACTCCTTAAAATTAACAAACAAACAAACTTAAACAACAAGTATAAATTAAACTAAATTTTTGTCCAATGAAAAGGACGTTTGTGTTAAAAATGCTGCTTTGGTGATTAAATAACGCCAAAAAAGTTCCTTCACATTCCACCTTAAATTTATGTTGTTCCAGCTGTACTTCTTTTCACTTAAAAGATATCAGCATGAGGAAGTAATAGATCATGACTTTGTGAACTTTATATTACGTCAACAATGAAAAAAGTTTAGGGAGCCTAAGTGCTTTTAACCCAAGATAAGCAGTCAGTTAGTCTGAGTGCAATGAAGATGACGATTTTAATTCGAAAAAGAGTTTAGGAGGACTAAGTTCAAGAAAAAAAATTTAAGGTTTGGTGAAAATGTGCAAACGATACCAAACTTAGGGGGCTAAGTAGGAGTAAAAAAAGTTTACATAAGGTCATAGCGTGAGTGAACTCAGTGAACTTCAACCAATGCCCTTCAACTTCACTCTAAGTTGCTCCCTTTGAATTCAAGAAATGGTTTATATTCTTCATCGATGAATTGAAGTGGTGCCCAGGATCTACAGGTCTACTTCTGCTATTACGGATCCCGGTAGTTGTTAAAGCTTTCGAAAATTAGACTAAAAGTTGTAACATTGAGTGGAGATGAAGAAAACGAGAAGAAGTAAAAATGATGGGAAAATGTACAAAGAAAAAGGCAGCAAGAGATTGTAGTGGTTCAAGAAAGTGAACTAGCCAAAGAACTGATGCCCAGTTGCTTACTTTTTGGTGTAAATCAAGTCCTATAGCTGTTCCACAGGTTCAAGTTTTGGAGTTGGTACTATTTCTTTCATGGAAAATGAAATGTTCTGTTTTTCTTATATTAGATTCATGCTGAAATATATCAGGATAGGGTAATAGACGTGTACCATTGAGAGAGAAATTGAACCCCGTGATTTTGACATGCACTTCGAAACATCTACTGGACACTGAACTATTTTTGCACTCAAACAGCAACTTATTCACTAGATACTACTTACTAGAGCACGAAATATGGGCATCGTCTGAGAAGAGACATATTTATTATAGACGTACTCATTTCTTGCTCTAGAAATTCGGAGGCTACCTTTATTGTTTCTGTTCAGAAGTTTAGAGCTTGAAATGCAATAGAGCAGAAGTACCATCAAGCCCTTTGGCCCGGAAGTATTGTGTATATTCATTCACTGTTGTTGCTCGATATTTGGGTGGATTTTCTGCTGATAGCAACTCCTTGATAGGTCCATAAACCTTTGCTGTTGGTCTTGGACCTGTACTGAAAAGGCTTGGTACTGATACTCTGGGACCGACTTTGTTTGCCGTCACTCTATGCTCAACACTTTTGTACTTGTCATTGGATATGAGCTGAAAATTCACAACCAAAAGCTAAAAAAACCAACAGAAACGATGGAAATGATGTTGAAACAAGGCCCCAACACGGTGCAACTACGTTTGTTTCAAGAATTTTGCAGTACAAGATAAGAGAACCAATATTTGAATGGCTTGCCTGTAGAAGATCTCCAATGTTGATCACTAAAGCTCCCGGTGTAGGAGGAACATCAATCCATTGATTTTGATGAAGTACTTGAAGTCCACCTATATTGTCTTGGAGAAGCACTGTGATGAAGCCGTTGTCAGAATGCTTGCTGGTGCCTAAGGTAAGTTCTGGCTGTGGACACGGTGGATAGTAATGGCATAGGACAGCAAGCCCCTCTGCACAATCAATGTCTTTGAGGTAGCTTAGATTGAGTCCAAGACCCTCTGATAGAAATTCGAGCAATAAGCAGCCTAACTTCATCACTAGCTTTGAGTATTCTATCACGATTTCACTGTAGTCGAATTCATCAAATGAGTAATCAGATATAGTTTAACAGGAACAAGAGTTGATTTAAGTTAACTATAACTTCCAGCAGCTCAATCTTTTTCCACTTCATAACTAGAAATTAGATATGTCTTAAAGATTCATTGTCAATTAATACTACCATCTAATCACCAGAATAGTGGCCACTGGCCCCTTATTCTAGTAATTTTCAGACCACACTTGTC